ACCTGTCGGAGGCCGGGCGTTGTGGCAAGCAAGGCGGCACCCGGATGCGGGTGATGGCTCCGGCTGCCTCGGCGGAGTCGCGAAAGTTTGTCAGCGGCGGAGCTCCAGCTTTCTTCAGGGGTGAACCTGCCCTGGGTACTGGCGGTACTGGGAAGCCTTCGCTTCTGGGCGTCCCAGCTGCTGGTTGCAACCGAGCTACTTCTGTGCCCTCCTTACCTTTCCTCCCCTCCTTTTCTTGGCCGCTGCCAATTTTATGCCTAAAGAGAGCTTCAAGGCAAATTCTTGGTTTAAAACAAGAGCTCCCCGTGTTTAAGGGAGTTGCTCCTATTTTTTTGTTTTAGTACTTTCGCTCAGCCATCTGTTAGAGTAGCGGATTCCCTTCTTAGTCTGCTCGAAGACGAGGATAGGAGTCGTTTCTGCATTGAAAGGGTGTCATGTGTAAGTTATGATGTACTGGGTGGAAACACGGCTAATTGCAGTGTAACCCTGAAGCAGCGAAGTGCTTCCTGTAAGGGTTTCAGGGAGTGAGGGGCGTTCTAAAGAAAATGCAATATGCAGATATCAAGCAAAGCCGTCAACCTATTTCTTGGTGTTTTCCTCTCTGATATGTCAAACTGTTATCAAGTCCAGTGTTAATTAAGTTATCTCGGCTATATATGATAGAAGTTATTTTGTTTAGATCTAGAAAAACATGTAATAAAGCTGGATATCATCTCTATTTAACAGCTGCATCGTATGTTCGCCTTGTTTAGTGGTTCTGCTGGTAGTACAATTCACCCCTGCTCTTTTAAGAGTTAAACAGCTGTGCAAATAAAAGATAAGTGTTAGGGGGTGCTCAAGAGCTTAGAGCTGGGCTGTTAGAATAAAATTTGATAAGGTACTAAGTTTCAGAAAGTTGGTTAGATTTTCATCACTAAACAGTGATTTCAAGACTTCTAGGGCTGAGGTTGTGTGACCGCGTCTGTTTTCATTTATGTTGCGATGGGGTGTGTTTGTGGGGAAAGTGAGAAGGAAGAGGTTCTGGTAAACAAAGTCACTTAGAAGGCAAAAGAGAAAGGGATGCTGAGAAACATCAGCAAGAAGAAAGTGTGACAGGTTCATGGAAAATGTGAATTTTAGCAAGGGATTTGAAGGGGAAGGCATAGAGAGAGCCCTGGTGGGCAGGAAGAGGGAGGCTGAGGGGCATGTGAAGTATTTTGAAGAGGGGATGAAGAGTATTTTGTGTGTGATGGATTGTGTGAGGATAAAAAAATTGTATAGGGAACAGGTGAAACAGGATCAGAGATTCCTGATCCTGCTGACAGCGTCATGACAGCTTTTGGCATTTTAGTTGGGAAGCTCATAGGCAGGATATGAAGAAACTGAGGAACTGACCGAAGACAGTTCTGAAGGTTAGACATCCATCTCTCTATTGCTCCAGGATTTAGCTCTTGAAATATATAAGCATGCTTTATAAAGCTGTTGCTCAAGTGAAAACTTACTAACTCCTACATTTTAATTTCATTCTTGCGATCTATAGGATCTGTTTCCTACATGGAAATTATTTAGATTGTGAATTCAGTTATTGCTCTGGTAATACTGTGGTGCATATTGTTGCTATATATCTTTTCTGGTTCCTCTAAAAATTGTTTTACTTGCTTCTCAGTCCAGAGCTGGAAGTAATTCAGTAATAGGTGAAGAAGTTCTGCCATAGCTGTTGCTTATATATGTGAAAATGTCTATGTAGATCTGGACTTGTTAGAACTAAGAAACTATAGCACTTATTTAAAATACTTCTAGATAATTTAAAAATTATCCGACTGTAGTGATCAACCTGTATGTTGGTTTCACCCTTCATTTATAGCTATTTTTCCTCTCATTGCTTTCTCATGTACTGCATATTCTTTATATACAGCGCTGATGAATGTGCATTTACTCATTTTCTGCCTGGAACTATTGTGCTGTCTTCAAGTATGCGCCTTGCCTTTAAAAGGGAAAAACAAAAGCTCAGAGTTATGAGTTTGACATTTATTATTTCTTGCTGAAGAAACGGTCCTTATATGTGAATCTATACAGCTTATTTAATGTGGGCAGAATATATAACTCAGATTTGAAATCTGATTTGACAACAGCAATGAGAAATATGTAATGTATTTTAATGTCAAAAATGTAATTCAAAGGGAAAGAAAACACAGCAGGAACAGAATAAACAAAATCAACATGACTTTTCCAATCAAACTTCATTGCTTTCAAGGACTGAAAAAATGAGGCCTATAGGGTTTAATGTCCCTTTAACCCTCTAATATGTCAAATCTCGTTAGAGTTACTCAGCTCTATCTCCACATGCGATCTTAAAAGTTTGTTTATTCATCTCTTGTCCTTACTCTAAAGTTATCTTCAACTTTCCTGTTTTATTTCAACAAGTCATTGAGGAACTCGAGATCTTGAAATTAATGCTTTCCTTTTGTAGTTTATTTAGGATGTTTTCTAAAACCATAGTGGCTTGGAAACTATCATTTTCCCCTTGCATTTTAAAAACTACATGTGTTATCATCCGGGATGTCATGACTCATTCCTTTTTTTGTTTTCTTCTGTGCATTGTGGCACCTGAGGAAAACAGAGCCTCTGCATAGTGAGAAAATAAATACACATTTTCAGGAAATAAACTAATGATCTCAATAATTTTTTGAGGTGTTCACCTGATGAGACTTTCTTTTAGTAACTGAAGGCAAAGTATTTGAACTGAAAAGCCTTCTTGTGAGTCATTAAAACTGAAGTTTTATAATACTTTATCTGTTTCTCTGTGTGGTGTATTAACTACCATCACAACAATCTCTGGCCGTATCCCAAATGTATAGCAATAATAACCTCTATCCCTACGTGCTTTTTAAAAGCCGGATTGGCCTTCTTGTTTTGTGTCTGTGAGTTGTAGGGTTTTATGCCAAAAGTAGTCCCACAAACAGTAAATTGGCTGTTGGAGCAAGCTCGTCCTTCATGTAAGAAAGAACAGCACATTGAATCTTTGGTAGATACCTTCTAGGCATCATATTATTTTCATATATAGCCTACAGATGTGATTTCCTAACTCTGAGAATACAGTGTACAGATGTAAACAAGGTGCCATGAGAAAGCCAATATGTATACATTGACAGTAGGACAGCTGCTAAGCGGTAACTGTTTCAAGCCCTTTTCTTTTCCCTTCCCAGTACCTGTGAAATAGATATGCCAAGTAGTACGTGACATAGATTTCACCTCATAGGTGAAAAGGGATAAACTACTTTGTATATACATGGCCAGCTTCTATAGAGTAGCTGATTTGTTAAATTCACACCTTGGCTTACCCCATAGTGACTTGATTGTGTACCTGTACCTTAGGTTTAGGTCCAGCTGCTGTCAAAATCTTATGTTACACTGATTAACTTTTACTGTCTTGCTACTATTTTGTGGTCCAAAAAGGATATTGCTTGAGGATGGATTGCAGGATCCTGCTATGGGGATGCCTCTTGTCTGTCCAGAGACAGACCCAGACCCTGAATACAGGAGAGAGGCCCCTGTGCATGCAAAGCTTTGCAAGGAAAGGAGTATCAAGTTATGCTTGCACGACAGCATCCAGAACCATTTGTCCCTGTTTCTTGGACAGATGCAGGTGAACATAACTTGTTCTTTTGTTGTTCCAAGTGTAGAAGTTGTAATCTCAAAAGTATGAGCATAAAGATAACCTGGGAAAATGTTCCTTTAGCAGTAGTGGAGTTAATTGCAGAACAGGTAGTGCTATTTGATTTTTTATTTTTTTTCTTGCCTCAATTCTACTTCATATATCTTCTTTTTCGCCCTGTTCCTGTGCTGAACAGGGAAGATAACAGGTAAAAATTTGAGGAGCAGATTCAAAGCTGTGTTATAATAGTGCTTAAGACTGCACTGTCTTGTTGGCTTTCCTGCTCCTTCATGATATTGCTTAGGAGAAGACAGATGAGCATTTTTAAGTGAGGTCCTCAATTGCCAAATCCTATCATGTGAAGAACAGAAATGGACACCTTACGGACAAAACACTGACAGTAGAAGTTGCTGCAGTATGTTCTCATAGTCCTCTAAAACAACTTGAAGGTAGGACAGGAATGTGTGCTGATCGAGCAATAATGAGTGTCGGTCACAGAGGAGCTTAGCGGGATGAGAATGGATGCTGTGTCTTCCTCAGCACGCCGGAGGAGATCATTCACCAGGGACAAATGGCTGTTCTCTGTGCTGTGAGCTGAAGTCAGACAAAGAGCATACGCATTGACCTGCATAGGTGGTGCTAATGGCTATTTATTGTTAGAAAATGCCCTTTTTAATCTACTTTTTTAACGGTGTTGGGTGTGTTGGTATTTTTTAAGCATTTTTTTTTCTTCAGCACTGAAGATGTTGTTGGCTGCTCTTAGATGCGCTGTAGGTTTCCTGTTGGTGATGGCAGCTTTGTTAGTCACTTTATTTATAGATTTCTTCCTTTGCCTAGTCAAGCAAGTCAGAGGACGTCTCTGGCTGCTTCGCTGGCTCCTCATCATTTCATCTGTTTATGCAAATAAAACTTTGTGTTTCTGCTCTTATGTTTGGGTTTACTATGGGTAACCCATGATGCTAGTATGGATGCAGGGCTCCTCTTGGAAGAGGTAAGATTGAAGAGAGGAGCAGGGGAAATCATAGTCATTCTCTGTTCTCCTCTCCTGAGTAAGACAAGAGAGAGAAGCCAATGTCCAGTCCAAAGTTTCCTCTGAAACTTCTACACATCTCAGAAAGTGAGTTTAGATCGTCCGTAAGTGCTGGTGGCTCCACCACAACCCTAGGCGACATATTCCTGTAATGAATTATCCTTTGGGTTTAATAATAATTTAAAAGCTTTGTTTCTAGTTTGAACTTGTCAAACTTCAGTGGTCAGCTATGGGATCTCATAGTGTCTTTTTTTTCCTGATTAATGAGCCATCTGTCATCAAAAATCTTTCATATATGCATAAATACATATACTGTGACCATCTCACTTATATTCTTGGTTAATTTAAGCAGGATGAGCTTTCTTGGGATTCTGTTCATGATTTTTAGGTCTTGGCTACTTTGTAGTTATTTCTTGCATTTGTTCCAAGTTTTCATCTAAGAATGCCAGAAGGTGACATAGCATTTCATTAACAGTCTGGCAGGTGCTGTGTACAGAAACATTTTCAGCTCCCTTCATCTTTTTATATTTACCTCCTTGTAATTTGGAGGATTATTTACCGTTTAGTTGCAGACCTGCAAGGAGCTCTCATAAAATAACTCTCTACAACGATTTCCAAATTCTCTGTGGTTTTTACTCTCCCAGGTATAACCAACCATCTCTGTTCTTAGGTAAACAGGTCCATATGGCACCAGGAAAAAGCCTGTTGTCCAAACAACTCACCACTCCATGCATTTGTTGCATAATGTTTCCCTGATTATGTTTATTGGTTTTCACCAGAGAGGCTTGCTTATGCTTGTCATTTAACAAAAAGTCATTCTCATATGACTTCCAGTCATTCCTTACACCTTTATATTTAACAGTTGCCTCCTACTTAGTTTTCTTTCTATTCAGGATGGGAAATTATCCTTTTTAAAGCACTGTGTTATGGAGAACTGGTTTTTATCCACACACGGTGAATTAAATTAGTTTATAATCAACTGAACTCTAATTCTTGATTTCCAATAGAAACCTGGTATATTTTTACCCTTGCCTAGCTGCTGTGATTTTTTTTTTCTTTTCCAAGTTCATCACTTGTCTTTTTCAAAAAACTAGGGATATTTTGTTGAAGAAAACTACTGGTATGCATTCCTTTCCTGGAGTCTTTCCTCTCACGTCATATTTATGTTTGAAAGGGCTCTTCATCACATTCCTTTCTGATTGAGCGGTTGACTGCAGATCCGTATTGATACCGAGACACTAATGTCCCTGTTAATACACTGGCCTATATCTACTCTAGATGAAATGAGCAATCACTTTAAAGCAGATAGTGGTGTCTTTATTATGCACACAAATTGCCCGTCTCTTCTGTCTGTGCCAATGGTTTTTAATGTTGAAGTAATTTGAAAAATTCTGCTAGGCTTCAGAAATTGTATTGAATTGCATTTGTTATCAGGAATGATTTTTTTTTTCTTGCTCTGTTCATTATCCAGGTTTCCACTGTTGGCATATAACCAACTGTTTTCTTTCTTTGCATCCCTTACATTTTCATGTTTTAGTTTTGAATCTCATATTCAGATAATGGCACCATATTGTAACTTCTGAGTGTCCTCCCTAATAAACACTAGTTGAAAGCCCTGCAAAGTAATTGAGTTTGATTGCTGTCCAAAACATTAGGCAGTTTCACTGGAGAAAGAAACTTCCAAGGCTTATGGGCTTCAATTTGTGGAGTGGAATGAGTGCTTTGCAGGATATCACTTACCAAGCCAGTGCTTAATCTCCTGTATCTTCTGCAATCTGTTTCTCTCACTCGGGCATCAGGAAGGGTTTCCAAGCAGACTGTTTCTCTCTTGTTTTCAGGGAGCTTTAATATCTTAATAAACTGAATTACTGAATGTGGCCCAGGTCTGCTGCTGCCTTGTGTTCTGTGACAAACTGGGCATCCCTTCCTTGGTTTTTACTGGAAAAACCAGGCTCCTTTGTTGCCATCTCTTCATTCTCCAACTGAAAAGGCAGTTGCCTTGTCTGAAAGTGAGTGTACAGCTCTTGTGCTGTTCAGGATCAGTGGTTGCCCATTCAATGGGTTAATTTGTTTTTCCAATCAAACTATTGACACTTCACTGTGTGGGAAACTTTGTACATACTTTGCTGGTAGTTCAGTCACTTTGAGCTGTCATTCGTGCCTATAGGGAGCTGTGCCTTTTGAAAGAAATGCTGCATTCCCTCTTGCAAAATGTCTTAAAAATTATCTCTGCCATCGGGTTTACCTCTTTGCTAATATAATTGCAGCAAGGGCAGCTATTCTGAGTGTAAGTGGAGTCAGTCTGGATACCATTTAGTGATTCATGTCCTAGAAAAACATGGTTTTCCTGTTTCTATAGTAGAGACATTGTTTCTGGCTGTCTACTTAGAGCAGTGGCTTAGTGTTTGGGAAATGCTTGCAACTGAGGGCATCTGCCTTTTTTTTTTTCTTACTATCTAGACTTCTTTCAAACAAACAAACAAAATCCTAAACAGAAAGAACCCGAAGTCTGAAACTTTAGTGTCATCTTTCCATGCTAAAGATTAAGATATACTTGTGCATCTATAATAAAAATAATGGTGAGAAAAACCAACCAAACACCAAACTCACAGTTCAAAGGGAATAATAAATCAATGGCTTACTCAGTCTCTTTGCATGTGAAATGTTAATTAGCTTTTTTTCCTGAGAGTTTTATTTAAAATGTGTATGACTTCCTGAGAGTATACCAAAATATCATTCAAAGCAAAGGTAATAAATACAGAGGTAGTACATAAGGAAAACAGAATGAGAAACTTGTTTACTTTATCAATCAGTTTTCATATGTCAAAAATCACTCAAAGCACTTAGAAATCTGAAATTTTTCTAACATAAGGAAATAAATTGGTCATAAATGATCTCCTGCAATATTAAAAAGTTTCAGGCATACCTTAAAAACGCTAAACAAGCAAACAAAAAACCCCAAAACCACCCAAAACCCACAACACCATTAAAGCTCTGTAATCGCCAAGTTCCTCATGTGCTCCTTTTCCTGCTGTCCACTTCCCCCAGGGTTTGTCATCTTGTGCTGTCAAGTGGGTCATAAGTCAGAGCAGTGGAGACTGTTTCTAGGTCAGACAGTAACATGTTGGGAAAAGTCATTTTACAAGAGGCACAGAAATAGCATTTTACAGTAGGAAAGTACTGACTTACTACAAATTACTGTATTAACTTCACACCACAGACTCATTTCACTGAACTGATGGTAGTGCCATGCCGGTTTTACAGCTGATATGATAATCCATCTCAATGTTGATTGAGAAGCAGCAGCAGCAGGGAAAGGGGAATTCTAGGTTACAAAGGTGGTAGGGGAAGGAACTGAACTCTCTTGGTAGTTAACCTAGCTGTTCTGTTGTCTCTGTGGCTTATACACAAGGCACTTAGCATATTTGCACCATTTTAAAGTTACATTATTATAACAGTTCAAACTGCAAAACAAGGCTGATCTGCTCTGTTTTTATTAGCATTGTACTTCAGCATCTGAGCAAGGACATGCACTTTCATAAAGTTAAACTGGTTTTAATGAACAAGTTACCATTGAAAACTTTTTCTACCACTTCTTGATTGTGCCTGTTAAAAAGAAGAAAGGCAACTAGTAAAAAAGCAGTGGCAGGGAAAGGAGGGAAGCTTTTAAAGATAAAAATGTATGTATGTACACTGAGATGCTGTAGATTGTGTGATTTAGACGATACAAAACCTCTGATAATACTGCGGTGTGGGAGAAGTCATTCTGTGGGCTGATGGTGACTAAAGTCTTTGTTTTTCATCCTTCCTAGAAATTAAGAAGCCACCAGTGGCCCCCAAACCAAAATTTGTGGTAGGACACAAGGCGACGCCTCCACCTGTTGCACCAAAGCCTGATGTTGTACTTTCTGGTGTTATACAAGCAGCAAGGAAAACCAAGCCAGCAATTGCACCAAAACCAAAGGTTCTCAAGAGCTCATCCATTCCAGAAGTCAAACCTCCATCATCTACAAGAAAAAGCACAAAAAGCTTTGAGGAGCACAGGGGAGATTCTTCTCAAACATTAGACCACTTGAACTATAAAAATGAAGCCTCGGAAGAGAGTACCAGTAACACAGCGTATATTCTACCAATGTCATCTTGCAAATTCGAATGCCTTCATAAGCTTGGAAATGGGGAGAACACCTGCAAAACTCAGATAATTTTTGGGCACTTTGAAAACTTGGAGAACATCAAAGTTGGTGAAAAAACTGCACTAGCTCTGGGGGATGGTCACAGTGAAAAACTGGTAACTAGAAATCAGGTGGTTTTGAAAGCCAGCATTTTGGAAGAGAAACTGAAGGACGTTCTAACTCATGGAGTGTTTCCTAACAGCAGTCCTGTGAGGCACAGGTATGCAGACAAACTTGACAAAGGGGATGGCAGCAGTTCCAAGAACAATGTTAAAATAGAGTTTATGGAACTTGTACAGTCTTCTTCATCTTCTGAGGTAGCTAAAGGGAAGCAACAAAATACTGATGGTAAGCTCACTGCCGATGAGTTTCAGATGTCCAAAAATTGTCATGGTTTGACTGAAAATAACCACAGTTGCTCTTGCACATTGGACCAAGAAATTCTGGAAAATGAAATTTTAAGTAGCAATAGTACATTTTCAGGTGAAATAGCTATGAAAGCAGATGCTGATAAAACCTCCTCTGAAACATCTTCGTCAGTCCTGAGCTCAAAAGTGCTTCCTGTCCCTAAGCCAAGAAAGCCACGCGCTGCATGTCTTGTCCGTCAGGATGGCATAGACACCGCAGGAGAAGGAACAAAGGAACCTTCTCATTCAGAGAAAGATTCCTTTGGGCTTGCAGAGCAAAGCTTTAAAAAGCCAGCAAAAATTAATATCCTTGGTCAAAGTGTTTGTTATAACAATGATACAGAAAGGCTTCATCCTGAAAAATGTGAGATAACTCAAAGCAATGCAGACAAAACGCATCAGGTGAAGGAACCTGCTACAGAAGAGTCAACTTCACAGAATCTTTTGCCTCAGTTGTTACACAAAACTTCTGATTTGGTGGAAAGCGTTGAATGGCCTTTGGATGCAGACCATAACTTAGTTAACTCCATAGATGAGGTGACAGATGATTCCAGTATGCTAGATGGTGTGGACAAAAGGACTAACTTTGTCAGGTGTGATACTTTGTCCATGAGTTTGCCAAAGCAACTCAAAATAACTAGCAGTCAGCACCCATCTACTTCCAATAGCCTCCATGTTTCCCCACAAAAACTGGAAGGTAAAGAAGTTAAAATAAAGGATGAATGTTCTCCAAAAGTCATTCCTAAGAAACCACAGAGGCACAGCCTACCAGCTGCTGGCCTGCTGAAAAAAGCTGCATCAGCAGAGCTTGTGGAGAAAAGCTCTTACCCTTCCAGTGAGGACAAATCAAACAGCGTTCTGGAGGGACCTCACTTCATGTGTCCACCAGCCAAGGAGGAAGGTGCACTGTCATCCTGCGACATACCCAAACGTTCTTCCGAGAAACCCGTCTGGAAGTTACCTCACCCTATTCTTCCACTGACAGGAAATTCTGGGTCATTAAAAACTGCTAACATCACTACCAACTTCAACCACTTGACTGTTGTGACAAAGCCCAGGGCCAAATCTCTCTCCTCTGTGGACATGGAAAGGACAGACAAGCCTTGCAAAGAGCATCAGAAGAAAAATAGTTTGAAAAAGTTTCTCAACATGAAACTGTCGGTTTGCTTAATGAAAAGTGACTTCCAAAAATTTCTATCTAAAGGCAGCCAGTCCGTGGATAGTGCTATTGCCAACCTTTCCACTGGGGACAGGCATGGAGGTGGTAGCAACCGGAATGTAACATCTATAGGTGGTGAAAGGAAGGCTAAATCTACCAAGGCGCATTCTGTAGAAATAAGTAGTCCAGCATTACAGAGGAAGAGGCAGAGAAACAGAAGTCAACCTGAGATGCGAAGTAACCAAAGGCTGGAGTCTTTAGATGGGCATGTACTTTTGGGAGAGAATTTGTCGCAAACGCATTTGAATTCTGTACCCAGCGCTTGTGCTCCGGAGTACGAGAACGTGCGTCACTACGAGGAAATACCTGAGTACGAGAACTTGCCTTTTGCTATGAGCACGGGGAGAAATCTCTGCTTTGAATGGCAGAACTCTGGCAGCATGGACAACCAGAGCCCTGGCTTCTATGAGGTTGAGGAGCCTTGTGAAGCTTCAAGCAGGCGTTTGAGATTTGGCAGGTAAAATAAAGAGGAAAGGGGAGTTAAACAGCTCTGTTGTTACTCTGGCTGTAAACATGTTTAAATGATAGCTTGAGAGGCTATGCCCCTTTCGTTAAATGACAGCAGGACAGTCATTGCTCTGTATCTTTATATACTTTTGCTGTTTTGAAAACTGTTGGACTTGGTAAAGAGTCAAGAGGAAAAATAAGCTAGTTATTCCTTATGTATGATAACAATTTGGGAAACTAATGTATGTGCTTTTCCAGATTTAAAGCAAATCAGATACAGTCATGTATTTGTATCCAAGTATACTTAAATTGAGAGGAATGAACCTTACCAGCAGCCTCAGGATGAACTTGGATAAGCGTCCATAGAGTGCGTAGTTGCTAGGTTTGTAGGGGGAATGAATGCATTTTTAAATCAGCTGATAGAGCTGGGAAAAGCAGATAAACTTTTGGTTATGCAAATTCTTCATCAGGTCTCGAAAGCTTTTGGGGTATAACAAAAGATATTGCCTCTCCCTGAATATAGCGAGTCTTCTGTGCCTCCCTGTGCTTCCAGGTGCAATAAAAGTAGTAGTAACGCACAAGTTCTGTGTGACTCGCACAGAATATTACTGAAAGATGGGGTCTGGTGACTCTGCATGTTGCTGCTGTGTTTCGTTGTCTCAGGAGGTGGTGAAGAGAGATCATTTCAGCAGATTCAAAAAGGGACTGGACCGATTCACAGACATGTCCAAAACAAATGTGCAATGGAATAGGCAGGAACAGATCTTTAAATATCTGTGATACTGTGACTGTGGATGCTGGGAAGAGGAATGGGCTTCAGAGAGTGTCCAGGCTCATATGTTCTCCCTAAATAGCATTGTTTACTGTGACTGTCAGTGTGTGATAATAGGTGAAGCAGTGTTTTGACCCAAAATGCTATCATTTAACTTCTTAACCTCAGCTTATCAGTTGGCCTTAAGGATTGTCAAGACTTGCCTCAAATCAGCATTATGGATTTTAATGAAGCCTGTATACTTCCAGGTTCCCAACAAATGTCTTTATGCTGTTGAAAGTATATACATACTGACAAGAATAAATTAGCTAGGTTATAGTCACATTTAACTTCATTTTTCACTGCGAGTTACTAAGTTTCATTTCATTTTGAATGTGTGTTGTTGCAAACACATGCTTCAAAGAATCAGAGCTGGCCGTTCTTTAGGGGAGTGTGTCTTATATAGGAGACGACATATTTTAAGTGGCATCCTATGTTAATAGTGGTTTATAGAGTTGATATCCTTAACCTTAGACTGTTTGGTGGAAAGCATGAACCCTTATCATGGGAAGTAGGGTTTCTGGTTATGGGCTCGGTATTGGTATGTTTATTCATGTGCCTGTTGAGCATTTTTCTTGTTTACAGTAGGGTTTTTCTTGGTTTTGTCTTGACATCATTTAAGTTCCTGAGTGTATTTTTTTGTGTAAATCTGATCTTTGGGTATCTTTTGGGGGTTTTGACCACACTCTTTTAGTATTCCCTTGAATTGATTTACCGAAGAAGGGTGTCAACAAACTCATAGGGATATATTTTATGTGTTTATGTGATCCGTTTTGGTTTATGTTGTGGTTCTGGGTCAAGTCAATGTATGTCTTTGCTTTAGGAAATGAGAAAGACTGATTTACTATATATGAAGTATGGTAAGCATGAGACTGCAGTTGATCCCTGAGTGAATTTTTGTAGTTTTCTCACCTGGCTGATGGTGAGAGGTTTGTGATTATTCTCCCTTCACACAACCTTCACCAGTACCATTGGTGTTTTAAGGGTTTAAATGATCTCTTGCACCTTGGCGCATCTGCAACTGTAGCTGCTCCTTAAGCTGGATCTTCCTGTGTGTTGTGTTTTTCTTTTCAAAGACCACCATAGAAAACCATACCCAGAACCCTTTATGTAAGTGTTTATTTTAAACTAAATTACATTGTCAGAAACTGCCTTAGGAAACAATTAATGCATGCAGTTACTTCAGTAGATCTTAAGGAACAAAGAAATCCGTGGGAGAAGAAGGAGCACAGTGGGGCAGTGGTCTCCTGACCTGGATCAGCTGCTGCTGGAAGAGCAGCTCCAAGTATTCACTTTGGCTCTGGATTGGGAGGTGTAAGGATCCTTGCCTGGACAGAGCCAGGAAAGCAGCTTCTCCAGTTTCCCATCATCTCAGCTCCTTTGAAGCTTCTTTATCAATGTCTTACCTTTTCTGCATAGTTCTCTAAGAGCCTTTTCTCATTTCCTGGGCCAGGTGGTATTATAAAACCGGTTAGAGAAACAGTGCTGATGTTATTGAAATAATTACCCCTCGTGTTTTCCCCAGCCTGTCGGAACACGCACTTAACTCTTTTTCATAGATTGTGGTACATAAAAGTCCTGCAATGCGCTGCTAATGGGGATCTCAAAGCAAATTGTCTTATGATTAAAGCCAACGTACAAATGAGAGAGTTCTTCTCAGAAATTCAGAGACAAATTCCTTGCACTTTTTTCTCATTGTAGTAGCATGTATGTAGTGTATTAATTCTGAATACCAGGGTTGTCATTACTAGAAGAGTTTAGTGGTGTCTTTACCCCATATTACATTTCATTCTGGAGGAAGAAATAAAATTTTAATAATGTGCCCAGTGCTGCGGTTGTTACTGAGAAACTTCCTCCTGATCCCATGTGGCGAAACCAGTATGCTTTAATGGAGAACAGTAATAGCTTCTGACACTCTTATCCTAAATTCATATGTCTTAGGAAATTCAGATACAGTTTGTTTGCTTGGGTCTTCCCACAGGGAGTTAAATGCAAATGGAGGGCCTGGGTAGTTAATGGTGAGGTATCACTTGTCACCACTTGATTTTTGAGTTATTTGATGTCAGCCTCCCTTCCACTGAAGGTGGGCTTGGCTTTGAAAGGAAGGCAGCCAGGGTCCTGATATGGTATGTGAACCGCTGAGGTGGGACAGAATGCTGATAGTGGGAGACTGATGGGTTTTGCTTGTTTTAAGTAGTTCAGGGGAATATTCTTAATAAAGAAAGTAATGACAATACCTTAGGAGCAGATAATCCATGTTGTGTTTCCACTATAGAAAACAGAAGTCTCTTGAGATGGTTTTGAAGGATTGTTTATTTTGTCTTAGTCTACCTGTTCAACTACAAATTTAAAATGGATAATTAATGAAATGTGTTATTAGGAGGAATCTGTAAACAAAGTGAGTGAAAAATAGGTGGGATATAAAATATACTGTTAACTGTAGAAGTCTTAAATATCGTTATTTGGTTGCAGATAACAACAGGGAAAGCAGCTCTTTGGCTTTGGGTTGGTTTGTTGTTTGTTTTAGATATTTGTTTTATAAATTCAGGCTCAGGCCTGAAAAGTGAGGTGATGTGTCAGTGCTGCTTGTACCACCACAACAATTATTTTTATATTTTCTATATATCACTAGCTGAAACAGTTCTGTTTTGGAGTAACACCGTTTAAAAAAAAACAACAACAAACTCTTAGTAGAAGATATTTATGCATTGGTTATCTCCTTTTTAGTGACAAACCTTTATTCTGAGGAGGACTACAAAATCTTCCTTAAAACCAAAAGTAAAATTGAATGTGCGTTTGTCCAGCAATATGAAAATGCAAATGAGCAGTGAACGTGACTTGGAACATGCTGCAGAAAACAGAAACTTAAACTTCTCTGGATCACGTGGGCTTCCTTTTGGTGTTTGTTACCTTGTTTTAGGCAAGAGAATTGTAGTTCCGGTTGAGCGAGTCTGCCCCTTCACCCTTCAGGGAATAGCATGCTGTATTTCCTGGCTACTTTTGACAGTGTTCCTTCAAGATACTGCAAATGTGCACAACTGCTAATTGCTTTTGATGAGATTTATAGCTGTGTCATTGTGTTTCTGGCTAGGAGTTTTTTTCTTTGGAAAGGGCTGGGGGCAAACGCCATGTGACAACAGTCCTTTGAGATCTTAATGTTGGTTTAATTAAATACTGCTTCCTATTTTTCCCACCCCTGCTGATTTAGTATAATCCATTTGTTTTCCTGAAATGAGCATCTCCATGCAAAATGTAAGTTTAGTTTTCCAGACTAATTTCTGCTTTGGTGGCTAAGTGTCCCCAGAGGTCAATTAAGTGTCCATGAAAGCCTTCCTGGAATATTGAATTTAGTATTGAAATCTGTGTGGCTAAGCACTTTGCTTTGATACATATTCTTCTTTGATGTCCTGAACTTACTTAGGGTTGAGACATGCTTCTGATGAGCAGTATTGCACCAGATAAATGTGGTGGTGTTTAGGGATTGGCTGTGTTAGGGAAGGGTTTGGGGCTTTTTTGCAATTGCAAAATTCCCATTCAAAAACGTTTCAAGAGAAACACTAAATTAATAAAATACTGCAGGGTCTAGCTAGCATTTAAAAACAGTTTTCGAGTGCTTAGGCTTAGATTTGAATGCATGAAGTACCTTTTGGGTATCAAAAGTGTTATTTTCATACATCAAAAAGCACATTTTCTTTTTACTGACTTTTATTGATGGATATAATTTCCTGATAAGTAAAGGCCAGATATGTAGATTTTTTTTTTATTATTTCATCTGATTCTCAAAGATCATAATGGATTAGTTTCTGGTTGGAAGAAGGCTGGTTCCTTTTCCTCCATCAGCTCCGCAGTCTCGTCCTGTCACCCAATCTCACCCTGTGCTTCTTAAGTGGCTTCTGCCACCCTTCGTTGTACATTAAATTCTTCCTCTGTGAGTGTGCATCAGGTTCTAATGGACTGGCTTTGATAGTACCCTATTTAGGTTTCCTATCAGGCGAAATTACCTTCACGTATTATCACTGGCTTTCCTTTTGTATTCTGCTTCCTTGAGCCTGCCTTTTTCTTTCCCCCTCCCTGCCTCGCTTTCTCACGTAGGTGTTAGGCAGCTGGGCGGTTTCTGCCAGCTCCGAGGGCCCGTCAGTAAAGGGTGAGTCAGATGGCTCAGATGGCCGCTTCCCGTCCCTGCCAGGCTGAAGGCAAAG